TCTAAAAATAAATCTATCTATACCTATTTATGTCTAAATATCTATATATCGATATGTCAATATCTATATGTATGTACACACACACACACACACACACACACACACACACACACACACACATATCCTACTGGTTCAGTAGAGATTCCAGACTCATTCATGTGGGGTATTCAGCCAGCCTTCATTGCTGGAGCACAGCCACATCACAAAATGTCACCATATGTGCCTCCTCCCCTTCAGTCATCTCTAGGATCCCTGCCCCTGGGCACAGCCCCCCACCCTCACCTGGACCATCACACACCCCTCATCAGCCTCCCTGCCTCTGATCTTGCCTCTCCAATCCATCTTCCCTGAGGGCCACAAGAACGACATCTCAAAAATCCACATCAGTCCGAGTTATACATGCAGTAAGAAAGCTTACTAACTAAACTTAGAAGCCTCAGTTTCCTCATCTGTAAAATGGGACGGTGGACTAGATGAACTTGATGGCTCCTTCTAGCTGCTTGTTTCTTTGGTTTGGGAGTAAGTGGTACTTACTCCCTGTTTCTGGAGTCTTCTGGGTCCTGAATCTCTCTGCCACACCCCCTCTTGTTTCTGCTGCTTCCGCCCTCATCAAGAACTCATTTCTCCCACACTTTTGGCTCCTCTTCCCATTTCTATTTCTCTGCTTACAACATTCCATTCCTACTACTTTCTCCCCTGGTCCTATCACATTGCAAGCTTACTCACTTGCTGCCACTCTTGTTACTATTTCCCTGGCATTACTCTGCACATATTGCCTCAGAGTTTGCACACTTCCCTTTCTCTTCTCCCTCCCATAGAACAGCCTCTCCTATTTTAACCCTCCCATTCCTACTGCCCACAAAGGTCTGTCTAGTCAAAGCCGTGGTTTTTCCAGTGGTCATGTATGGATGTGAGAGTTGGACCATAAAGAAAGCTGAGTGCCGAAGAATTGATGCTTTTGAACTGTGGTGTTGGAGAAGACTCCTGAGAATCCCCTGGACTGCAAGGAGATCCAACCAGTCCATCCTAAAGGAAATCAGTCCTAAACATTCATTAGAAGGACTGATGCTGAAGCTGAAACTCCAATACTTTGGCCACCTGATGCGAAGAGCTGACTCACTAGAAAAGGCCCTGATGCTGGGAAACATTGAGAGCAGGAGGAGAAGGGGACGACAGAGGATGAGATGGTTGGATGGCATCACCGACTCAATGGACATGAGTTTGAGCAAACTCAGGGAGATAGTGGAGGACAGGGAAGTTTGGCGTGCTGCAGTTCATGGGGTCAGATACAACTCAGGGACTGAAAAACAACCAATTCTTACTACAGTTCCTCCTAGTCGGGCTGCTATTGTTTTTCTTGTTCCTATCCTTAATGTTACCTGTCCAAGCATCACTCTTCTCATTACTGCTACTTCTCTGATCACTCCTCCTGGCAAATCATTTCTTCTCTGACTCGTCATCATTTCTGTAACTTTTTCTCTTTCTTCTCCTTCAGCGAATAGGATTTCTTCTGTTATTCTTCCTCCTTTTCTTTCCTCTGACATTTTTTTCCCTTCTGTGGGATTCAAAAATACGTGCAAATCCTTCGACACCCATCCCATAAGAAGTGGAGTCTGTGCTTGGAATTTGGGGGGCCGGTGGCTGCTTTAAGGATATGTCTGTATTATTTGAGTTTATTTTATTCACAGCAGTATGTATTACATTTATAACATTTTTAAATAAAGAGATGCTTTAAAACTAAAAAAAAAAGAATAAACAGGAAGTGAGGCTCGTGCCTTCTGATGCAGGGTCGTGAAAGTGGAGCGGGCTCCACCTGTGCTGTTTGAAACGCTCGCACTGGGCACTCTGAGCCCAGTGCGAGCAGTTCAGCTGCCCTGAGGCCGCCATCCAGCTCAGGAACCAGCGAGGCAAGAGGCCTCCGGATGGTGCCAGCCTCCAGCCTTCCCTGCTGAGCGCCCAGATATCACAGAACTGAGACATGCCCTCCGCCCTGTCCAGATTCCCGACCCTAGAACCCACAGCCATAATAACTTGGCTGTAACTTTTTCTCTTTACGCCACTCGAGTTTAGAGTGGCATACTCCGCAGCAGCAGGAGCCAAAAGGCTCTCCCCTTGCCCACACGGCCCATCCTGGACAGTCCCAGGACTCTACCCTGCCCTGACATGCTAACTGCCCTCTTCCGCCGGAGCCTCCTGACCTTGGCACTGGCACCTCTGCCTGTCCCATCAGTGAGCCCAGCCCCGTCGTCCTCTGGGCCGTGGGCATCTTGGCCATGAGGCCATCCATCTGGGTACAGACAGCAGTGATTCACAGTTCTGCCGCCGGGGGAGACTTACTTCCTTGTCAAAAGCTCTCGGCCAACGAGACAAGTTGTGGAGTCAGCACTCTGCGGGCTCGGTACTGCGTACTGATCTGCCCCGGCCTCATCCCAAACCCCTGGGCCTGTGCCCCATGCACTAAAGTGATTAATGGTTCACGATCAATATGGGGCTGGGGAGTGACCCATCTGCGGGTCTTAGGAGCACAAATAGGTGATATATGGATCAGATAGACTGTGTGTGCAGCACTGTCTGGGGGTGCTCGGAGCTGGGCAGATCTGGATTTGATGGCCAGTTCTGCCAACTTATGGCTGTGTGACCTTGAGAAAGACACTCAACGTCTCTGGGCCACACTACCCTCCTTTGTAACATGGGTTAATTATACCAGCCTTGCAAAAGTATTGGGGATCTAAGATCCCATAAAAGCCCATGCTCACCTTACAAAGGGGTACTTCTGAACGCCAAAGGTTAGGTTGGCTTCACTGATAGGATCACTGATAGGACTCACGGGCTTCCACCACGGGATTCCCTTTTGGAATACAAGCACCCGGCTCCAGCTTTCCTGGATTCTGGGAGGTCACTTAGGACAGTTCCTCGTTTGCAGGCGGGGGATCCGAGGCTCAAAGAGATAAGGTCATTTGCCCAAGGACACCTGGCTAAACACAGACTAACCCAAGATGCAAGCAGAGGCCAGCTGTCCCCCCCAGCACTCGTGGCGGGCGGCGCTCTCTGCTGGGCCCAGCGTTAGCATGGCACTCTGCTGCGGATTAGCAAGACCCCCTCCCTCTGAGAGCAGGACGGGGAGGGAGGCAGCCAGGCACACAGGGTGACTTGACTGGGCAGGGGGGAGGCAGCCTTTACCGAGGTACAAATGCTTTCTCATGCTGTCATAAAACTTTATTCATTTAAGAACCTGAATTAATTTTTTTAGATAAGTAATCCACATTGGTAAAGAAGCTGTCTGACAAGGCAGGAGACGCAGGTTCCATCCCTGGGCAGGGATGATCCCCTGGGGGAGGAAATGGAAACCCACTCCAGTATTCTTGCCTGAAGAATTCCACAGACAGAGGAGCCTGGTGGGCTACAGTCCACGGGGGTTGAAAAAGAGTCAGACATGACTGAGCATGAGCTCCTTCATGCATTTCCAGGGTTCAATACTTCAAGGGCTTCCCTGGTGGCTCAGTGGTAAAGAATCTGCAGGCCAAGGCTGGAGATGCGGGTTCGATCCCTAGTCCAGGAAGAGCCCACATGTGGTGGAGCAACCGAGCCCATGAGCCTCTGAGCACGACTGGGCCTGTGCTCTAAAGCCTGGGAGCCGCAACTATTGAAGCCAGTGCCCCTAGAGCCTGTGATTTGCAACAAGAGGAGCCACGGCAACGAGAGAAAAGCCCCTGCAGCACAGATCACCCAGCACAACCGAAAATAAATACAATTATTTAAAATAATTTTATGCAAAAAATAAAATCACTTTAAAAAATTTCAAGAAGCACAAACGAGGATGCAATGAGAATCGAGTCTCTCGCACCTGCCCCCAGCCACTTTGTCAAGGGGCTCTGTGTGTCCACAAGAGAGAATTTTCTACATGCTTGAGCAAACATGAAGGCAGAGTCTTCGCTTTTTTTCCCTGCACATTTTATAAACAGGTACTCCACTTTGCCTTCTTCCAAAGAGACCCTGCCTCCTTTTTTTAATGGCTGTGTGGTATTCCTTTGGATTGCTCACACACCTCCCTCCCCCTATTCTAAGGGAAGAAGCGAGTCTGATTTCCAAGGCTAGGACGCCCAGTGCCCTTCCCCGGCTGTTCCTCCTCAGAAACTCTGCGCCCTGGGGAGCTTGGTGGCTGCTGGGCTGAGGGAAGCGAGCTCTGGTGGGCTTTCGTGGACAAAGCCTGCAGACAGACAGACAGACCTTCTGACCGCTGGCCTCCAGCCTTTGCTGGGTCCACGGGCAGGGCCTGCCCTCTCTGAGCCTCCTTTACCCCAAGATACAACTCGAAGACCCCACGCCCAGGGCAGAGGTGAAGGCTGCTGTAGAAAGTCGTTTGCCTTTTACAAGCCTGAAGCCCAGGGACACTCGCTAATTCATTGATTCACTCGTTCTTCCATTTATTCAGCCACTTACTGATGTATTCCTCCCCACCCCCCATTTATTCACTCCCTAATTTACAGAAGTCATACACCCATTCACTAATTCATTCATTCATTCTGTCACCGTTTTCTCACTCATCCATACACCCATGTATTCACTCACTGATTCCCTCCCTTATTCACCCATTTATTCAGGCATTCATTGTTTTCACTCATTCATTCACGGTCTGATTCGCGGTGATGAGCGTTCCTGGGACGTGCTAAGTGCGGATTCGCGGGAGGCTGGCTCGGCGAGCTAGCTCAGGCCGCTGCGGGGGCCCCTCCGGCCGCGCTCCGCGCCGCCCCCGCCGGCCCCGGCCGCCGCGCCCCCGCGCCCGGGAAAGCGCGCGCTCTCGGGGCGCCTCTGCTCAGCGGCTGGCTCCGGAGCCGAGCCAAGCGCTTGGCGGCCGCCCGGGCCCCCCGACCTTCGGCGGCCGCCCATGCCCGCCTCGCCCTGGGCGCACGGCCCTCCCCAGCGCTGCGCTGCGCCGCCGGGCCCGGCGGGGGCGGGGCCGGGCTGGCGAGGCCGGGCCGGGCCGCAGGGCGGCCGCCGGGATGCGGGGCTGGCGGAGGAACCTCGCGTTCTGCCTGCAGCGGCTGCCGGACGAAGGTAGGACGCGGCCGCCGCCCAGGCCGGTGAGCACCGGCGCGGCGCGGGGCGAGGAGGGCGGGCCCAGCGCGGGGCTGGTCGGGGGGCGCCCGCTGGGGGTCCCCGCGGGAGGCTAGGGGCGGACGGCCGTTTGCTTCCGAGGCGCGGAAGGGGAGCGCCTGAAACGCCGAGCCCGAAGGGTCATCGCAGGACATGCGGTTTGGAGCGCAGCCGGGCCGGGGGGACACGGAGGGCGGCTGCACGGGACTCGCGGAGGTGGGACCGGGGGCCCAGGCGACCGCTTGGGGCTGGGGGTGGGGAGCGAAGGGCTCTGGACGCCCCAGGGCTCAGCCCGCGACCGGAGCGCGAGTCCGGTCCTTGGAGCGGCCGTGGCCGGAGCGGAGACCACGTGCGTCCCCGCGAGTTGGGGGGTGGGGGGTCCGGTGTGCGCGCGCTCACCGCGGCTGGGGCCTGGGGATCCCGAGGCTGCCGTCACTGGGACCCAACTTTCCTCCGCGCGCCCGCCCGGCAGCCGCCCCGCGACGACCCCAGAGTCTGCAGTTCCTCAAAGTTGCAGAGAGGCCGGAGGCGGGAAGGGGTGCGCGGCGGGCGGGGAGCCGGCTGGGCTCTGCCGCAGCGCGGCGGCGCAGCCGCCTTTGCCCGGCCGCCCCCCGGGCTGCCCCGCTGCTTACCTGTGGTCGGAGCCGCTGGCCTCGCGCGCTGGAGGTTAAGAAGAACACGCGCGCCCGGGTCCGGCCACCGCCGAGGGTAGTTTGGCTTCGGTGAATTGCCAGAACGGTGTCGAGGGGGCAGAGCCAGGCGGGGATGGCAGTGCCCACCCTCTGCTCACTTCGGGGGGCACGAAGTCGGGCTTAGAGGCAGCGGGCACTGTGCGTCCGGGCCCACACTTCCGCCTCTGCCTTTCACCTTCGCGGCCACCCCTGGGGAGGGCGCTGTTCTTTCCTCCTGGCCAGGGAGGGCACTGGGCTCTAGGGAGGAAGCCTCTCGCCCAAGGTCACGACACCACTAGGTGGAAAAGCTGGAGGTGAACGAACCCAGGTCTGCGTTACTGGCAAGATTTCGGTCGTGCCAGACCCCTGCCCGACTCCTTCCCGTTTCTGCCCGCCCCGAGTTGGACCAGGCTCAGTTCCTGGGAAAGGATCCTTGCCCAGTCCAGGCCAGGATGCTCTTGTTTGGGGCGCGAGGGAAGCGGGGAGGTGGAACAGCTGAGAGCAGGTCCCTGCCACTCCTGTCCTGTCCCCAGCGCTAGGTCAGTTCTGGAACCCGTGCAAAGGTGGGGGCGGGGCAGGTGCCCAGGCTTCCTTCCTTTCGGTGTAGGGAGGGGGCAGCAGGGTAGAGCAGGCACCCCGGAGCTCTCCCCAAGGAGAGGAGTAAATTAAGAAGGGCATCTTCAGAGGCAGGGGCCCAGCACCAGCCTTCAGAAAACAGCGCAGCCCAGCCACAGGCGTGCTCCGTAGTCTGGGACCCGTCCTGCCGGCTCTGGGAGGCTCACTTTCTGTGTTCCTAAGGGGAGGGCCTGCCTAGGGAGGAAGATGTGAGATCTTGGCCCCCGGGCACAGCGCACGGCCCAGGGCAGACTGGCAAGTGGGAGGCTGTGATGTCCTGAGATGGAGGGCGTTGCTGCCTTGCTCCTGATTCCCCCTCGCCATGGGTGAGGCCCGTGGGTGGTGTGTGTGTGTGAGGTGTGTGTGCATGCCGGCACAGGGGCGGCGTGTTTGAGATGCGCTTGGGAGTACCCAAGACTCACGGGTGACCCATACCAGGCGCGGTGGTCTTGTGACGCCTGCAGACCTTTTGCCTGCCACTGGCCACCGTCTTGAAGAGGAGCCCCCCGCCCCCTCCCACAGTGCCATGAGATACCCAGCGTCTGAGTTTTCCTTGGGAAATCTTACCTGATATTAATCTTTGAGCTCAGCACTGAATCGGAGGGTGACTGGTGCCTCCACCCTCGCCCGGCAGGAAATTGCTATTTTAAAAAGACAAAAATCCCCAGCTGACTCTGGGCCATGGGAAAATGGTTTCCCGTGGGCCAGGTCTCTGATGAGAAACTGCGATGTGGGTCCAGCTGGATGGGAGACCTGTGGGGGAGAGAGGAGGGCCACAGGCCTGGCGTCCTCAGAGAAGAGCTTCAGTCAGCAGGAGGGCCATTCTGAACGAGGCCAGCTCGTCTGCTTGTTGGGTGGGCTGCGTTAAGGCCCCAGGGAAAGGAGAGTGGGCTTGGAGACCAGAGTCAGGGCCCCAGCTTAGCGTCTCTGCTGGCCAGCTGTGTGACCTTGGGCATCCTACTTAATTCTTCTGAGCTTCCGGTTTTCCATCCGGGAAGTGGGTAGGGTTCCCTTGCAGGTGGTCTTGGAGAGTCAGTGGCTTAGAGCAAGTGGTCGGTGCTCAAGAAATACTAATTCCCATCTTCCTTTCCGGATCTTTACACCCACTTCAGGTTTGGTGGGGTGAGGGTGAGGCTTCCCCTCGGGAGGTAAATAATCCACCTGCAATGCAGGATACACAGGAGACGCTGGTTCGATCCCTGGGTCAGGAAGATTCCCTGGAGGAGGAAATTGCCACCCACTCCAGTATGCTTGCCTGGGAAATCCCATGGACAGTGAAGCCTGGCGGGCTGCGGTCCGTGGGATTGCAAAGCGTCGAACACGGCTGAGTGACTGAGCACGCACGCACACTTAGGTTTGGGGAGGCGATCTAGGGTACTAGATCTAGGTCAGTGGAGCACTCAAGACTCAGTGGGTTTCTGGATCATGAGCGGTCATCTTGAGGCTCCCCACTCCTAGGGTTTGGGGGAACCCAGTCTGGGCCGTGTCTGCCATGTGGCTGCTTGGATCCATCGGCCAGCCTTGCCCGGTGAGGTTGGCCAAAAGTGTGGTGGTGCTCAGCACACACTCACACAGTGTGTGCATCTGGATCACGCGCAGCCACAGGAATTGGCGACCTCTGTGACTCTAGCTTCATGATGCTTTTGAGGTGTGTCCGTGTGTGGTGTGGGGGAGACAGAGAGAGAGAAACGTGTTCTCATGAACCATCACCTTGAGGTTTGTGGCCCCACAGACAGCAGCAGATTCCCTTCTGTTCGCCGCAGTAAACCCTTCTAGGGGACCTCGCCTCCCTCCTCCAGGTTCCTGCTGATCTCTGCGTGGGGTCAGAAAAATGAAAGCCGGTCCTCAGACTCAGGTTGCCCCCAGTCCCTCAGATAACAAAAGCTCAAGGTGCCCGTGCCTGGGGAACGTGGAGTTGAAAGCAGCAGCCAATTCCTGGTCAGAGAGGCTGCTCAGAGGAGGAGGGAATGGTGACCCAGTGGAGACAGTCGGATCTCCACCGGCAAGTTCTTCCCGTGGTGTGGCCTGATTAATTTTCCTCCTTATGCCAGTCCTTTCTGCTCTCTAATGGACTTTTGGAATGTTACCCAGGAGGGTTAATAGAACTCATCACGCCCAGCTCTCTTAGTAGAGAGAGGGCGAAATATAGAAGCAGTCAGGAGGAAATGACTTTTTAGTCACTTACCAGATATTTCCTGGGCCCTGTTCTGGGGGCGGGGGATACCGCCATGAACCAAACAGAGACCCTGCTGTAAGGGACTTTACCTTCTGGGGAGAGACTGCTGCTGCTGCTGCTAAGTCACTTCAGTCGTGTCCGACTCTGTGCGACCCCATCGCTGGGATTCTCCAGGCAAGAACACTGGAGTGGATTGCCATTTCCTTCTCCAACGCATAAAAGTGAAAAGTGAAAGTGAAGTCGCTCGGCCATGTGCGACTCTTCTCGACCCCATGGACTGCAGCCTACCAGGCTCCTCCGTGCATGGGATTTTCCAGGCAAGAGTATTGGAGTGGGGTGCCATTGCCTTCTCCGTCTGGCGAGAGACAGAGAACAAGTAAGCAAGTAAATAAGAATGGGATCGTTTCAGCATCAGCAGTGAAGTGAAGACGACACGGGAACATGGGGTGATGTAGTGGAGAATCCCAGAGGAGGGAACTTCTTTAGAGAGGGTGGCCAAGGAGGGTTCAGGGAGGGCCTCTCTGAGAAGGTGACTTTTGAGCCAAGACGAAAGAACAAGAAAGCTCAGCCATGCCAAGAGCAGAAGGAAGAGCTGTGTAGGGAGGGTGGTTGGTGGTTTAGTCACGAAGTCGTGTCTGACTCTTGCAACCCCATGGGCTATAGCCTGCCAGGCTCCTCTGCCCGGGAGATTCTCCAGGCGAGAATACTGGAGTGGGTTGCCATTTCCTTCTCCTGTGTAGGTAGAGGGAACAGCAAGTGTCAAAAGCCCTGGCTTCCAAGGGGTGGTGTGGGGAGGACGGGTTTGACCTACTGGAGGAAGAGAAAGTTGAGGGAGGAGGGTGATGAGTGAAGAGTTTGGAGGAGCCAGGCCACGGAAGGCCAGATTGCCGTAGGAGAGGAAGGTGGGTTTTATTCTGCGATGGGAGGTATTGGAAGTCTTGACCGAGGACTTGGGTTGGCTCCGAAGATGAGCAAGGTTTGAGTGATGGAGATGGCGGTGGGAGAGGCGTGCCAGGCAGAAGGATGGCATGGGTATATGGGTGGGGGCGGGAAAGCTATAGGAGCTGAGACTGCGGGATGGGCAGGAACCAAAGGCACTGAAAGCGTGTTGGGGGAACTGTCCAGGGTTCTGAGAGGCTCACCCAGTGGCTCTGCAATTAGGACTTTCAGGGGATCGTGTGTGTGTCCGTCCCCGTGGTACCCAGCTAGCTGATGTGTCCCTTTGCTGGTTACCTAGGAGACAGCGGGAAGACGGTGGGGTGGGATCTGATTGGCTACTTACTCCCGCTGCTCATCTTTCCGTCAGACTTGCAGGCAGAGGTTACAAATGGTCCATGTGGGCATGCCAAGTGCTGGAAGGAGAGCTGCCCCAAGTCCGGTGTGTGTGTGTGTATGCGCGCGCGCGTGTGTGCGTGTGTGTGTGTGTCTGCCAGTGCGTCTGTGTGCACGTCTTGAACAAAGCGGCGGCATCTGGAGCTAATGTGCTTCCTGCTGTGAAA